TTTTTGAGGTTAAAGAACTAAATGCAAGGGAAAGCTATTTTGCGTGTCAGGAGGGACGAGCGGTTTAAGGCGCTGCAATCATGTCGTAGTCCACTTGCGTGTTCGTGGGTTTGAATCCCACTTCGGGCAATGTATTTCTTTGTCATTTTTTGAAATTTAAAAAACTACATGCAAGGGAAAGCTATTCTGCGTGTCAGGATGGCCGAGCGGTCTAAGGTGCTGCAATCAGGTCTTAGTCCACTTGCGTGGGTTCGAATCCCAATTCTGACAAGGTATTTCTTTCAGTCATTTTTTGAGGTTAAAAACTACATGCAAGTGAAAGCTATTTTGCGTGTCAGGATGGCCGAGCGGTCTAAGGCGCTGCGATCAGGTCGCAGTCCACTTCTGTGGGCGTGGGTTCGAATCCCACTTCTGACAATAAAATTTTATTCACATACTTTTCTTAGGTTCCAAACACTAAATGTAAGGAAACTCTTTCACATGTCAGGATGGATGATCGGTGTAAGGCGCTGCGTTTAGATCACATTCCACTTCTGTGTGGGCGTGGGTTCGAATCCCACTTCTGACAATAAAATTTTATTCAGTCATTTTTTTTAGTTCTCATAACTTAAATGTAAGGAAACGCTCTAGCACGTGTCAGGATGGCCGAGCGGTCTAAGGCGCTGCAATCAGGTCGCAGTACACTTGCGTGTTCACGGGTCCAACTCCCACGTCGAGCAATTGTATTTAGTTGAGTTATTTTTTTCGTTCTCATAAAGTAAATTAAAGGAAACGTTTTCTCAAATTTAAGAATGGCCAAGCGGTCAAAGGCGCTGCGTGCATGTGGAAGTCCACCTGGTTTTGGCGTGGGTTCGAATCCCACTTCTGATAATGTAATTTTATTCAGTCATTATTTTTTAGTTTTCATAAACTAAATGTAAGGGAAAGATCTTTCACAGGTTAAGATTCCTGAGTGGTCTAAAGCGCTGCGTTTAAGTCGCAGTAAAATTCTGCAGGCGTGGTTTCGGATTCCACGTTTTACAATTATATTTCATTCCTTCATTTTTTTAAGTTGTCATTAAATAAATGAAAGGAAACACTCTCCCACGTGTAACGATGGCCGAGCGGTCTAAGTCGCTGCGTTCAGGTCGCAGTCCACTTGTGTGGGCGTGGGTTCGAATCCCACTTCTGACAATGTTTTTCTATTCAGTTATTTTTTGAGGTTAAAGAACTAATAGCAAGGAAAAGCTATTTTGCGTGTCAGGAGGGACGAGTGGTTTAAGGCGCTGCAATCAGGTCGTAGTCCACTTGCGTGTTCGTGGGTTCAAATCCCAATTCGGACAATGTATTTATTTCATTCATTTTTTGAGTTTTAAAAAACTACATGCAAGGGAAAGCTATTCAACGTGTCAGGATGGCCGAGCGGTCTAAGGCGCTGCGTTCAGGTCGCAGTCCACTTTTGTGGGCGTGGGTTCGAATCCCACTTCTGACAATAAAATTTTATTCACATACTTTTCTTAGGTTCCAAAAACTAAATGTAAGGGAAAACTTTTTCACATGTCAGGATGGCCGATCGGTCTAAGGCGCTGCGTTTAGATCGCATTCAACTTCTGTGGGCGTGGGTTCGAATACCACTTCTGACAATAGAATTTTATTCAGTCCTTTTTTTTTTAGTTCTCATAACTTAAATGTAAGGAAATGCTCTCGCACATGTCAGGAAAGCCGAGTGGTCTAAGGCGCTGCAAATCAAGTTGCGGTACACTTGCGCGTTCGCGGGTCAAACTCCCACGTCGTGCTATTATATTTAGTTGAGTTTTTTTTTAGTTCTCATAAAGTAAATTAAATGTTACGTTTTCTCAAATTTTTTGGATTGCCAAGCGGTCAAAGGCGCTGCGTTCATGTGGAAGTCCACCCGGTTTTGGCGTGGGTTCGAATCCCACTTCTGATAATGTAATTTTATTGAGTCATTATATTTTTAGTTTTCATAAACTAAATGTAAGGAAAAGATCTTTTACAGGTTAAGATTACTGAGCGGTCTAAAGCGCTTCGTTTAAGTCGCAGTAAAATTCTGCAGGCGTGGTTTCGGATTCCACGTTTTACAATTATATTTCATTCATTCATTTTTTTAAGTTATCATTAATTAAATGAAAGGAAACACTCTCCCACGTGTAATGATGGCCGAGCGGTCTAAGGCGCTGCGTTCAGGTCGCAGTCCACTTGCGTGTTCCTGGGTTCGAATCCCACTTCTGACAATGTATTTCTATTCAGTCATTTTTTTGAGGTTAAATAACTAAATGCAAGGGAAAGCTATTTTGCGTGTCAGGAGGGACGAGCGGTTTAAGGCGCTGCAATCATGTCGTAGTCCACTTGCGTGTTCGTGGGTTTGAATCCCACTTCGGGCAATGTATTTCGTTGTCATTTTTTGAAATTTAAAAACTACATGCAAGGGAAAGCTATTCTGCGTGTTAGGATGGCCGAGCGGTCTAATGTGCTGCAATCAGGTCCTAGTCCACTTGCGTGGGTTCGAATCCCAATTCTGACAATGTATTTCTTTCAGTCATTTTTTGAGGTTAAAAACTACATGCAAGGGAAAGCTATTTTGCGTGTCAGGATGGCCGAGCGGTCTAAGCGCTGCGATCAGGTCGCAGTCCACTTCTGTGGGCGTGGGTTCGAATCTCACTTCTGACAATAAAATTTTATTTACATACTTTTCTTAGGTTCCAAACACTAAATGTAAGGAAACTCTTTCACATGTCAGGATGGATGATCGGTGTAAGGCGCTGCGTTTTTATCACATTCCACTTCTGTGGGCGTGGGTTCGAATCCCACTTCTGACAATAAAATTTTATTCAGTCATTTTTTTTAGTTCTAATAACTTATTTGTAAGGAAACGCTCTCGCATGTGTCAGGATGGCCGAGCGGTCTAAGGCGCTGCAATCAGGTCGCAGTACACTTGCGTGTTCGGGGGTCCAACTCCCACGTCGAACAATTATATTTAGTTGAGTTATTTTTTTTTAGTTCTCATAAAGTAAATTAAAGGTTACGTTTTCTTAAATTTCAGGATGGCCAAGCGGTCAAAGGCGCTGCGTTCATGTCGAAGTCCACCCGGTTTTGGCGTGGGTTCGAATCCCACTTCTGATAAAGTAATTTTATTGAGTCATTATTTTTTTAGTTTTCATAAACTAAATGTAAGGCAAAGAGAGATTTTTCATATGTTAAGATTCCTGAGTGGTCTAAAGCGCTGCGTTCAGGTCGCAGTAAAATTCTGCAGGCGTTGTTTCGGATTCCACGTTTTACAATTATATTTCAATCATTCATTTTTTAAATTCTCATTAATTAAATGAAAGGAAACACTCTCCCACGTGTAAGGATGGCCGAGCGGTCTAACACGCTGCGATCAGGTCGCAGTCCACTTGTGTAGGCGTGAGATCGAATCCCACTTCTGACAATGTATTTCTGTTCAGTTATTTTTTGAGGTTAAAGAACTAAATGCAAGGGGGAAGATATTTTGCGTGTCAGGACGGACGAGCGGTTTAAGGCGCTTCAATCAGGTCGCAGTACACTTGCGCGTTCGCGGGTCAAACTCCCACGTCGAGCAATTGTATTTAGTTGAGTTATTTTTTTTTAGTTCCCATAAAGTAAATTAAAGGTTACGTTTTCTCAAATTTTTTGGATGGCCAAGCGGTCAAAGGTGCTGCGTTCATGTGAAGTCCACCCGGTTTTGGCGTGGGTTCAAATCCCACTTCTGATAATGTAATTTTATTGAGTCATTATTTTTTTAGTTTTCATAAACTAAATGTAAGGAAAGATCTTTTCACAGGTTAAGATTCCTGAGCGGTGTAAAGCGCTGCGTTTAAGTCGCAGTAAAATTCTGCAGGCGTGGTTTCGGATTCCACGTTTTACAATTATATTTCATTCATTCATTTTTTAAGTTCTCATTAATTAAATGAAAGGAAACACTCTCCCGTGTAGTGATGGCCGAGCGGTCTAAGGCGCTGCGTTCAGGTCGCAGTCCACTTGTGTGGGCGTGGGTTCGAATCCCACTACTGACAATGTATTTCTATTCAGTTATTTTTTTGAGGTTAAAGAACTAAATGCAAGGGAAAGCTATTTTGCGTGTCAGGAGGGACGAGCGGTTTAAGGCGCTGCAATCAGGTCGTAGTCCACTTGCGTGTTCGTGGGTTTGAATCCTACTTCGGGCAATAAAATTTTATTCAGTCATTTTTTTAGTTCTAATAACTTATTTGTAAAGGAAACGCTCTCGCATGTGTCAGGATGGCCGAGCGGTCTAAGGCGCTGCAATCAGGTCGCAGTACACTTGCGTGTTCGGGGGTCCAACTCCCACGTCGAACAATTATATTTAGTTGAGTTATTTTTTTTAGTTCTCATAAAGTAAATTAAAGGTTACGTTTTCTTAAATTTCAGGATGGCCAAGCGGTCAAAGGCGCTGCGTTCATGTCGAAGTCCGCCCGGTTTTGGCGTGGGTTCGAATCCCACTTCTGATAAAGTAATTTTATTGAGTCATTATTTTTTTAGTTTTCATAAACTAAATGTAAGGGAAAGATCTTTCACAGGTTAAGATTCCTGAGCGGTCTAAAGCGCTGCGTTTAAGTCGCAGTAAAATTCTGCAGGCGTGGTTTCGGATTCCACGTTTTACAATTATATTTCATTCATTCATTTTTTTAAGTTCTCATTAATTAAATGAAAGGAAACACTCTCCCACGTGTAATGATGGCCGAGCGGTCTAAGGCGCTGCGTTCAGGTCGCAGTCCACTTGTGTGGGCGTGGGTTCGAATCCCACTTCTGACAATGTATTTCTATTCAGTTATTTTTTGAGGTTAAAGAACTAAATGCAAGGGAAAGCTATTTTGCGTGTCAGGAGGGACGAGCGGTTTAAGGCGCTGCAATCAGGTCGTAGTCCACTTGCGTGTTCGTGGGTTTGAATCCCACTTCGGGCAATGTATTTCTTTGCCATTTTTTGAAATTTAAATAACTACATGCAAGGGAAAGCTATTCTGCGTGTCAGGATGGCCGAGCGGTCTAAGGTGCTGTAATCAGGTCTTAGTCCACTTGCGTGGGTTCGAATTCCAATTCTGACAATGTATTTCTTTTCAGTCATTTTTTGAGGTTAAAAACTACATGCAAGGGAAAGCTATTTTGCGTGTCAGGATGGCCGAGCGGTCTAAGGCGCTGCGATCAGGTCGCAGTCCACTTCTGTGGGCGTGGGTTCGAATCCCACTTCTGACAGTAAAATTTTATTCACATACTTTTCTTAGTTTCCAAACACTAAATGTAAGGAAATGCTTTCACATGTCAGGATGGATGATCGGTGTAAGGCGCTGCGTTTTTATCACATTCCACTTCTGTGGGCGTGGGTTCGAATCCCACTTCTGACAATAAAATTTTATTCAGTCATTTTTTTTTTTTAGTTCTAATAACTTATTTGTAAGGAAACGCTCTCGCACGTGTCAGGATGGCCGAGCGGTCTAAGGCGCTGCAATCAGGTCGCAGTACACTTGCGTGTTCGGGGGTCCTACTCCCACGTCGAGCAATTATATTTAGTTGAGTTATTTTTTTTTAGTTCTCATAAAGTAAATTAAAGGTTACGTTTTCTTAAATTTCAGGATGGCCAAGCGGTCAAAGGCGCTGCGTTCATGTCGAAGTCCGCCCGGTTTTGGCGTGGGTTCGAATCCCACTTCTGATAAAGTAATTTTATTGAGTCATTATTTTTTTAGTTTTCATAAACTAAATGTAAGGGAAAGATCTTTCACAGGTTAAGATTCCTGAGCGGTCTAAAGCGCTGCGTTTAAGTCGCAGTAAAATTCTGCAGGCGTGGTTTCGGATTCCACGTTTTACAATTATATTTCATTCATTCATTTTTTTAAGTTCTCATTAATTAAATGAAAGGAAACACTCTCCCACGTGTAAGGATGGCCGAGCGGTCTAAGGCGCTGCGTTCAGCTCGCAGTCCGTGGCCGCGGTAGCCGAGTGGTATAGGTATCGGATCGTGGCTTGCCTGGTCACGAGTTCCATCCCAGTACCACTAAAGACCCGCCTTGTAGGGCAGCGATGCACGTTAAATCTGTCGAGAGCTGAAACGTCCTCCCGTTGGTGTGGTGTGGTAGTTAGGAGAGGGGGGTGCCAGCTCAGGTGTCGCCCACGTCACTTGACCATGGTTCAAAATTACGTGGTCCGTCGCCAAAAGCCCTCGTGCAGCTGAACAGTGCGACGTTAATATTAAATCAAATCAAATCAGCTCGCAGTCCACTTGTGTGGGCGTGGGTTCGAATCCCACTACTGACAATGTATTCCTATTCAGTTATTTTTTGAGGTTAAAGAACTAATGCAAGGGAAAGCTATTTTGCGTGTCAGGAGGGATGAGCGCTTTAAGGCGCTGCAATCAGGTCCTAGTCCACTTGCGTGGGTTTGAATCCCACTTCTGACAATGTATTTCTTTCAGTCATTTTTTGAGGTTAAAAACTACATGCAAGGGAAAAGCTATTTTGCTTGTCAGGATGGCCGAGCGGTCTAAGGCGCTGCGTTCAGGTCGCAGTCCACTTGTGTGGGCGTGGGTTCGAATCCCACTTCTGACAATGTATTTCTATTCAGTCATTTTTTTGAGGTTAAAGAACTAAATGCAAGGGAAAGCTATTTTGCGTGTCAGGAGGGACGAGCGGTTTAAGGCGCTGCAATCAGGTCGTAGTCCACTTGCGTGTTCGTGGGTTTGAATCCCACTTCGGGCAATGTATTTCTTTGTCATTTTTTGAAATTTAAAAAACTACATGCAAGGGAAAGCTATTCTGCGTGTCAGGATGGCCGAGCGGTCTAATGTGCTGCAATCAGGTCCTAGTCCACTTGCGTGGGTTCGAATCCCACTTCTGACAATGTATTTCTTTCAGTCATTTTTTGAGGTTAAAAACTACATGCAAGGGAAAGCTATTCTACGTGTCAGGATGGCCGAGCGGTCTAATGTGCTGCAATCAGGTCCTAGTCCACTTGCGTGGGTTCGAATCCCACTTCTGACAATGTATTTCTATTCAGTCATTTTTTGAGGTTAAAGAACTAAATGCAAGGGGGTAAGATATTTTGCGTGTCTGGACGGACGAGCGGTTTAAGGCGCTTCAATCAGGTCGCAGTACACTTGCGCGTTCGCGGGTCAAACTCCCACGTCGAGCAATTATATTTAGTTGAGTTATTTTTTTTAGTTCTCATAAAGTAAATTAAAGGTCACGTTTTCTCAAATTTTTTGGATGGCCAAGCGGTCAAAGGCGCTGCCTTCATGTGGAAGTCCACCCGGTTTTGGCGTGGGTTCGAATCCCACTTCTGATAATGTAATTTTATTGAGTCATTATTTTTTTAGTTTTCATAAAGTAAATGTAAGGGAAAGATCTTTCACAGGTTAAGATTCTGAGCGGTCTAAAGCGCTGCGTTTAAGTCGCAGTAAAATTCTGCAGGCGTGGTTTCGGATTCCACGTTTTACAATTATATTTCATCAATTCATTTTTTTTTAAGTTCTATTAATTAAATGAAAGGAAACACTCTCCCACGTGTAAGGATGGCCGAGCGGTCTAAGGCGCTGCGTTCAGCTCGCAGTCCGTGGCCGCGGTAGCCGAGTGGTATAGGTATCGGATCGTGGCTTGCCTGGTCACGAGTTCCATCCCAGTACCACTAAAGACCCGCCCTGTAGGGCAGCGATGCACGTTAAATCTGTCGAGAGCTGAAACGTCCTCCCGTTGGTGTGGTAGTTAGGAGAGGGGTGCCAGCTCAGGTGTCGCCCACGTCACTTGACCATGGTTCAAAATTACGTGGTCCGTCGCCAAAAGCCCTCGTGTAGCTGAACAGTGCGACGTTAATATTAAATCAAATCAAATCAGCTCGCATCCACTTGTGTGGGCGTGGGTTCGAATCCCACTACTGACAATGTATTTCTATTCAGTTATTTTTTGAGGTTAAAGAACTAATGCAAGGGAAAGCTATTTTGCGTGTCAGGAGGGATGAGCGCTTTAAGGCGCTGCAATCAGGTCTAGTCCACTTGCGTGGTTTGAATCCCACTTCTGACAATGTATTTCTTTCAGTCATTTTTTGAGGTTAAAAACTACATGCAAGGGAAAGCTATTTTGCGTGTCAGGATGGCCGAGCGGTCTAAGGCGCTGCGTTCAGGTCGCAGTCCACTTGTGTGGGCGTGGGTTCGAATCCCACTTCTGACAATGTATTTCTATTCAGTCATTTTTTGTTGTTAAAGAACTAAATGCAAGGGAAAGCTATTTTGCGTGTCAGGAGGGACGAGCGGTTTAAGGCGCTGCAATCAGGTCGTAGTCCACTTGCGTGTTCGTGGGTTTGAATCCCACTTCGGGCAATGTATTTCTTTGTCATTTTTTGAAATTTAAAAAACTACATGCAAGGGAAAGCTATTCTGCGTGTCAGGATGGCCGAGCGGTCTAATGTGCTGCAATCAGGTCCTAGTCCACTTGCGTGGGTTCGAATCCCACTTCTGACAATGTATTTCTTTCAGTCATTTTTTGAGGTTAAAAACTACATGCAAGGGAAAGCTATTTTGCGTGTCAGGGTGGCCGAGCGGTCTACGGCGCTGCGTTCAGGTCGCAGTCCACTTCTGTGGGCGTGGGTTCGAATCCCACTTCTGACAATAAAATTTTATTCACATACTTTTCTTAGGTTCCAAACACTAAATGTAAGGAAACTCTTTCACATGTCAGGATGGATGATCGGTGTAAGGCGCTGCGTTTAGATCACATTCCACTTCTGTGGGCGTGGGTTCGAATCCCACTTCTGACAATAAAATTTTATTCAGTCATTTTTTTTAGTTCTCATAACTTAAATGTAAAGAAACGCTCTCGCACGTGTCAGGATGGCCGAGCGGTCTAAGGCGCTGCAATCAGGTCGCAGTACACTTGCGTGTTCGGGGGTCCAACTCCCACGTCGAGCAATTATATTTAGTTGAGTTATTTTTTTTTAGTTCTCATAAAGTAAATTAAAGGTCACGTTTTCTTAAATTTCAGGATGGCCAATCGGTCAAAGGCGCTGCGTTCATGTCGAAGTCCACCCGGTTTTGGCGTGGGTTCGAATCTCACTTCTGATAAAATAATTTTATTGAGTCATTATTTTTTTAGTTTTCATAAACTAAATGTAAGGCAAAGAGAGATTTTTCATAGGTTAAGATTCCTGAGTGGACTAAAGCGCTGCGTTCAGGTCGCAGTAAAATTCTGCAGGCGTTGTTTCGGATTCCACATTTGACAATTATATTTCATTCATTCATTTTTTTAAGTTCTCATTAATTAAATGAAAGGTAACACTCTCCCACGTTACAGGATGGCCGAGCGTTCTAAGGCGCTGCGTTCAGGTCGCAGTCCACTTGTGTGGGCGTGGGTTCGAATCCCACTTCTGACAATGTATTTCTTTCAGTCATTTTTTGAGGTTAAAACACTTTATGCAAGGGAAATCTATTTTGCGTGTCAGGATGGCCGAATGGTCTAAGGCGCTGCGTTCAGGTCGCAGTCCACGTGTGGGCGTGGGTTCGAATCCCACTTCTGACAATGTATTTCTATTCAGTTATTTTTTGAGGTTAAAGAACTAATGCAAGGGAGGAAGATATTTTGCGTGTCAGGAGGGATGAGCGCTTTAAGGCGCTGCAATCAGGTCCTAGTCCACTTGCGTGAGTTCGAATCCCACTTCTGACAATGTATTTCTTTCAGTCATTTTTTGAGGTTAAAAACTACATGCAAGGGAAAGCTATTTTGCGTGTCAGGATGGCCGAGCGGTCTAAGGCGCTGCGTTCAGGTCGCAGTCCACTTGTGTGGGCGTGGGTTCGAATCCCACTTCTGACAATGTATTTCTATTCAGTCATTTTTTGAGGTTAAAGAACTAAATGCAAGGGAAAGCTATTTTGCGTGTCAGGATGGACGAGCGGTTTAAGGCGCTGCAATCAGGTCGTAGTCCACTTGCGTGTTCGTGGGTTTGAATCCCACTTCGGGCAATGTATTTCTTTGTCATTTTTTGAAATTTAAAAAACTACATGCAAGGGAAAGCTATTCTGCGTGTCAGGATGGCCGAGCGGTCTAATGTGCTGCAATCAGGTCTAGTC